GTAGCCAAAGCTTTTCAAGCATTATAGTCACTTTGCCGAGCATTTAAATGCGTTGAAGAAATGGTTCGGATTTTATATTCCACCTATGTAAGGACACACGTAGAGTACTGAGTGCAAGTAGCCGGCCCATGTCTCATTAAGGGTACTGACATACTCGAGCGTTCCAGCGTTAGGGAATAAAGCTAGTGAAGGGTCTTTCCAAACTCCCTTAAGATGAGCGCTTAAAACATCTAGATCTTTTCCCCATACAGTATCGTAGAACACGAAGTGATCTTATATTGATATTCTGTGTCTTTAATAACGATTTGGGTGTTAATATCATTCATCTTTTTGCTACCTCCCAAACTAGTCATATCCGAGGTTAGAAAACCGCGATCGCATAAACTCAAAGTGGGGTCCCGTCTTTCTAATCGAGTAATCAATGACTGGCAAGTCTTATCCGAACAGATCGTATCAGCACCATCAGTGAAAATTTTCAGGGAGAAGCTGAACCTTCGCTGGAAAAAAAAACAGGTCCACCAGTCTACTATTCTTATTACTAAAGACTGATTTTTTTTATTTCAGCAACCCGCTTGTCGTATAATTACTACTTCATTGAGAATTGTGAAGTCGTAAACTGTCGTGATGGAAATTATTGGAAACCAACTATTTAGTATTCATTGGTTTACACTGTTTCTGACTTTGCAACTGACATCACAATTTGAAAAAAACTTTTTTTACGAACTACTACTTAAGTCCGTAAGCTCACAAATAGTTAGTATCCTTCGAAAAACTGTAGTGAATCAAGTAATATGGAACTAGATTTCTGGCTTACTGTTTGAAATTTCTTAAACTCAAGACCACCTGGACCGGTTTGAAAGGAAATCTGGATTTGTCATTTGTAGGAAATGTACGTTCTGAAATTTAGATTATAAGGAGCTTTGCATTAATAGGAACGGTATGCTGAAAACCTTGCCCAGTGAAAATAAAAATTATCAAATGGTCGTAGAAAATTGATACTGCCAAGAAAATTTAGAATTTATCGACTAACATTATTCGAAATACAACTTTCCCTAGAATTCACATATTATCCATTGACTGAACAGTATGTTAGAAGCTGTGACGATTGTGTCAATCATATGTATACTCATTCCTCCTCAGGTTCAGCATATGTCAGAATATTTTATTGGCTAATGGTCGATCTTAAAAGAACAAATACCTACTGGGTGTATATAACAAGCTCTGGACAAAAATTTCGTGTGAATTGGTATTCAGATCCCATAGTAAACAATTGTTCCCACAAATCAGTGTTGTACACCTTGCTAACAAGTGCATTTTGGTACGGAACCATGCTTCAAGGATTATTGTTACCAACTCTCGAACTTAAAAACTATAAGTTGCTGTTTAGATTATCGAACACTATGGTCATTACACTTTTAAGTAATAAAGCCGAAGGGGGTTACAAGTGAAATATAAAACGTTGAAATGATGTAAAATATGTGCAGCATCTAGGTTTAAAGAACGATATAAAGAGTAATCACATAACCATGATCCTCCCAATCTCAAGTCATTTGAACTGACATCGTCAACCATCTAAAGTCTCCAGACAACTCTGTAGTGAACAACTTATTAAACACACATACTTCACCATAGGATATCGTGGAAAATGTTAAAACTGGAGTTCCACATTACTGGCTGACTACAATAAGATAACCATTGAAAGCCAAGAAGTACTGGACAACCGTTTCGTCCTAGTATGAGATGCCTCGACAGTGAGTATCCACTAACCCACATGGAGTCGAACCCAAGACCTTTGTGTTTTACATAAAACATTTGACCTTTATACCAATGAGTTGGCACCCAATAGTTTTTTTCAAATTTCAGTCGTTCTATAATAATGTGTGATCACCATACACTGCCATTGGTTAAATTTATCATAATCCCAACATATTTGTTAAATAATAAACTGAAATTCCGATTAATTAAAATTATATCAGTAGAGCGTATTCCACAACTTATATCACTGATCTAGCATTTTACTCACCTAGAACTTTAACATAGCTTAGCTTATCTGTTACACGTAAGAAATATATTTGCATTCATATGGATTATAACGACCTTACAACATATATTTTAATCTTTAGGATCAAATTAATTGTCCCGTCAATAAGTGATTTCGTATAGCTGACAGAATTTACTCAGCCTAATCCATACACATAAATAGGTAGAACGGTCGATAAATTTAATTCCTACAATATCTTTAATCGAAACAGTCGTAGGTACACAAGGAAACTCCAAAGTATCCTCTTTCATCTAGCTGGAACAAAGTTCCTGATTACTCTTCTAACGTTTTATAGATGGTGACCAAATGACTACCTCTTTTTGTAAAAGTATTTCGTCTTACTACTTACATTTAGTTAAAAATAGCTCATTATTAGGCAATACGTAACTAAGAGTAATGTTCAAGTTTCGACACAATTTCTGACAATTTAATAAATATAGATTAATCATGGTCTAATTAATAGGAACTAAAATAAAACAATTAAGAGTATATTAAAATAGACTACAATTGAATGATCAATCAATTTTAATAGTATGTAGTGTGGAAGTAACACAACTATATTTCAACAAAAATCAACAAATACAAGTAGTTATTTACTAATACATGGATTTTTATTATATTTCTATATTTTTGAATCCTCTTGTTGTTGATATGAAAGAACTGGATTTTGATTAGTTTGGTTATTGTGAGCACATCCTATGTGCTTATTGAATCGTCATTTTACATCTTCCTTCTCTCTGTCAAATCCTCATACATGCTTATTTTTCAACTAATCGTCTACATCCATAACAGAACATTTAATTCATGAATGCATGGAAGACTTATGGATGATTAAATCCCAGTATAAATTTTGTTATTAAACTCGACATATTTTCCTGACTAACTCACAATTGGGACTATAATAAAAGCCAACAATAATATACGTCATTCTACAGTGACTGTATCTTACCTCACGAGACTATTCAAATAAAAATGTGAGCAACAATCGTTAACTGCAGTATTAGACGTTAAAAATAACAAGTCATTATACAACTGCTAGGAATGAATAAAACAGCCCGTATTTTCAAACAATATATTTGTAGAAAAATCTCCCGTTCATCAACTATATGCACGACCTGAAACATACATGTTTCTTAAGAATGCAAAAATAATTTATTAACAATTAGACATCTTGGGACAGAAAATATGTACTACATAACTTTATATCTTGAAATACTGCTAACTTATCGTCCCCTACAATGGACTTTATCTACATTAGGATTTAATGTCAGTACAGTTGAACTGTCAGATAAATAAAAACAATTTAAGTCCGACTTCGCACTCAATACATGCGACTAGTAGCGAGATCATAATTGGGATTAGTCAGTTAGATATGATCTACAGTCTACATCATTTTGTTGATTTATCTAATTTCGATTGTTTTCACAATGTCATTGCAAAGAATCGTAAACCTAACAATTTGCCCGATCAATATTCGTAATCCCAATCATCCTCCTGATAGCAAACGTTCCAAACAATACGACAGCATTGGACCGATGCATTTGCAGAGAGCAACAAACACCCGATAATCCGTATAGTCTACACAATCATCTAAATCTGAAAGTTACGGAGACAATAGTCAAACCAGAGTTTACGAAGTATTTCTGAGTTTTGCCTCAGCACATCCCGAAATCGGCACCAACAAACTAGTCCGTTACACTCCTTAAGAATGAACTAAAGGCGCGAAGTACAGTATTTTAGACACAACACTGACCTATTCATGCAAGCTATGACGATATGAAAACAGGCTGGTTTCCCCCAAAAAATGTTTGTTCCGTACAACGAAATAAAGACCTCAATAAGAAATTACAATTTTGGTGTGAATATCGATTTCCCCTACAGGTAAAAAAGTTGGGTTAGGTGGTATTTGGGACTACTGTGAGCCACCAAACCTGCAGCTAGATGTGCTCCATTATATGCGACCTAGATTTTCAGTGACCCCTGGATCTATGCCCAACAGGTTCACGTTACTTATGATCAACAGCTACTGGACGGTGAAGAAGGGGTCAACCCTCCGATCCTATAGGAATGGCATATGGACCTACTTATATGACAACCATATGATACACCAACACGCTGCCCAGTGGGGCTAGGCGGCGCAGTACGAGCAACATCGAACCACCGGTGAGGCCGTAATTCAAGCAACTGTCATAATTGCGGTCACACAGGTCAAATGGTTTAATAAAGGTTGAATTGAAGGACTGGGGAGCATTCTATACGTACCCGTCAGGTCAGTCCTTCGTCAAGTGACCAGATCTACAAACTTAAGTGAACTAACCCAGGTAAAACCCAATACAATACTTTAAAGCTGAAATTTGAATACATGCTTGACGGCGAATGATCCGTTACCTCAACGTCTAGTTGTGGAGTACGTCAATTTATATTTGATCTGACCCACCGACGCGAGCGAACACATTAGCAACTAGAGAAGCACAAGGCAATAAACATAAGGACTGACAGCTTCAGTCAAAACCCTGCCGAACATAAAAAACCACAACGCCTGAGACAAATTGACAAGTACACCGGGCTTCGAAAACACTAGAGTCGAGCGACTGCTATCAACCACAGCCAGGCGACTTACAAATTAATATACCACCAACACTGAACGCGGACAAACCTTACCGGACCAATGCACCGCACGACGCGGAAGCGTCGCCTAACATCACCAGAACCACGACCCGACAAGCCACGTGAGACTCAACAGGGCAAACTCTCTAGGACTGAATAATCGAAACCTCAGACCAAGAGAAAACATGGAGCGCAACATACCAGCCTGTCTCTAAACGTGTCTTAGCGTATAACTACCCAAACTAATGTCGTGAGCACCCCAAAATAACTTGCTAGGCTAATCAACACGATACTCTATACACCATGTGGAGACGCGGAAATACTAACGGTGCGTCATTTAGAATAAGAACTATCCTTCATAACTGTTTATTAGAAACAAAGTTTGAGATATGACCTCACGTCTCGAAAAGTGTTGATACAAAAATCTTAAGACGCATAGCGGCTGGAACAGAAACAACGGCAAAAACGCTGATCCCTGGATAAAAACAGTCAAGTTAAAGCCAACACATGACACATGAATATGCCTCGGTATGACGATAGCTACAATTAAATGCAAAATGACACAAAGGCGTATTCAATAGTGGAACATAAAACCGGGGCGCGATGTACAAGTGTGGAAACAGTCTGTTTTTGCCATTGTACAACAAATCAAATGTCTCAATATTGTTCCATGCAGATGCGAAGACATACACGTTTGGGAAACAAAGATTGAAGTTTAAATGGAAATGATATATTGCAATGATCTTTAAACATCCGCTACACCAGTTTCATCCTCGTCGAGATCCTGATCATCATCGTCATCTTCATCCTCTTCATCGTTTTCTTAAACAAAATTAAACCACGAGTATTAGTTACAGTAGAGATGAGACGTCATAACTATCTGAAGGAACATCACTTACCATTTTCTTCGTCTAAATCTGGTGAGAGGTAATATTGAAGTGGATTTGGCCAGATGTCATCCTTTATTACTTCACCCAGCTCGTCACCAAATACTGAGGATTCATCTGTGAACCAGCAGAAGAAACTATCTTGTGTCTGGTCCTCGAATGTCCGTTTCTTAGCTTGATCACCACCATTCTTTTTTGAATTGGATGAATTGCTTGTCAGATCTTTGCCCGGATACCAGTCTATCTTGGTGTATGTCGAAGATGGTTCGCCGCTATCTCCTAAGTGGAATTCTTTCGTCAACACACTGTTCTTGAACCATTCATTCTTCTCAAAGTGCTAAAATAGGACTTATTAGACATCGCAATAGAACCTACAAAGTTAATTCGAAAACCGGACTTGATGTCCTCAAACTCCTGAACTTCCACCTTTTTCAAATGCTTTAATACACTCTCGTCATTGCTCGTAAGCAAGTCTGACAACTGGGGGTGATTAATAAATGTAGTGAGCCAGAAGTTGGGGATCTTGGAAATCAGCTCACACCGTTTCTCAAAGTGAGGTTGTCTCATCTTATTGAACTTTTGTTCAACTTTTAGGATCTCTTCACTGGCTTGCTCATTGAGATTGTCAATGGCATTTTGAACTTCCTCAATTTCATCGATGAGAGTATTGGTCGAACCTGAAACAAAAATATCAGTAGCGAGATAATCCTATAGACATAACACTAGTCCAAAATTTTTGTAGGAAAGTAAACCTGTAGCAATCAGACTTACTTAGTTCTCCATCAGCACCAGTATCATTACTGGGTCGGGGTACTTTAGGTTGGGTCGCCATTGCAGATGGACTTGATGGATAACCACTGAACAGGATATGCACATGGCCTCCAGAGTATTAAAACAAGGGCAGTCAAAAATCAAATATCTTTGAAAAGGCAATAGTTTTCACCGTTTTTCTTAGTTTTTAAGTAGGCTTATGTTTTTATTAGTACATAACGTAATTAATGGTCGATCAATATAGGTATGTCTACCCGATGCATCCCATTATTAGGATCCTATAAACTAACGTTTTTAATGGTCTATAATGAGAAAGCAGTTATAAAACAAATAATGGGCGCATTATATGCCTCTCAATATTTGCAGTCAGATCAAATGAGTTAAATAAAAGCCTTGTTTCAACACCGTTTCCCAATCCTGAAGTAACTACCTGTCCTACTTCAAATGGTTCAGAATAGAAGCATTCGCTGAACGGGCTTCCGTGTCTAGTAGCAGTGAATTACTGATGCAGCCGCGTAGAAACCCAGGCATATTAAACGGTAAAATGAAAAATTGTAAATTATTCCTTAAGAATATGTCAAGTTTTCTCCTGGGAAGTCGCTTGAACTGGCTCATCTGTTAGCGAATTCCAGCATTTGACAGCTCTTAAGGGGTAAAACGTCCATAGACAATCCGTTTTGCTCTATTGTGCCTCCAGTTTCGGGGTGTTACCCCTATAGTTGGTGTTTGGACTAAGTATTATTAAGTGTCTAAGGGGATGTACAGAATTGTCAAAGATTCTGTAAGCCATTTGGTCACCTCCAAGACGCCTGTACTCTAATGGGTCAAGGTTAAGTGATTAGAGGCACTCTTCATAAGGATTGGATAATGGTTTTCATGGACTTAGTTTGTCAAGAAATGGTCCATCCACACAGAAAAACATCCTGGAATCTAGGAAAGCAGGTAGTTCACTAGTTTTAGTAGGAGTTAATTACAGAAAGACATTTTCAATAACCTGCCTCAGCACACGCTATGAAAAGATCAGAACACACTATAACCATCTAAGAAATCCAGATTCAGATAGGTGAATTAAAGACGGACAGACTATGAACTATGTTAGTCACTATCCAGTAAATTTCTGAGAGTATATAGTCTTCTCTTGAGTCAGTCAATTAAAGGTGCAGACATCACTTATTTGTGTAACAGGTTCCAAGAGTAAATGACTCAGTGTGAAAACCAGTATACCACAGTATTTTGTTCGTTTTTAGTTTTATACTCAACTGCTATGTCCTCTCAGTTGTCCTGTTCTGGTCGGAAGAAAAGGAGGTTCCAAATTATCCCACCTCAATCTGCGGTAGGTCAGAGTTAATAGATTCAACTTCTAAAGTCGCACTGTGTGTGGTAAGGACGAACTGAATTCTGTCATTCTCTATGCATTATCACTATAAACTTGGAAAATATCTTTGTGTTCTGTTTCATGATTTACACCTAACTGGTGTCATTTTAGATACTGTTCGCATTAAAGTGCTATTCAGTCAATCATATAACAACGTATAATTTGGCACTTGCATACCTCCGAGCTGACATGCAGAATCGATCCGTCAGAATTTGGAGGACTTAGGTCAGTATTGTACCACACTAATACACATGTGTACTGCTTTACTGCATGGGTTGTAAATCCTTTTTTATGAGGATTAAACTGGGTTTGTTCCTAAGCCTGATTGGTTACTCCTCTGTGAACTGTTTTGTGGAAGATTGTATCATTCTTGATTCAATCGAAAATAATGACAGAAATTTTGATAGGTACAGTCAAGAACACACATTGAGGGTATTCTTGGATAATCTGACAACTAGATTACTAAGCTCTATGAGGAGAAACTCACTCCCTTTTTACTTCTCAGAATACTGATCGGAAGATTCACTTAGCGTATCGTATAGAGTAAAATCAAAGCTATGTCCTATGATGAAGCGCATGATACTAGAATCACTCAGGAAGTATATGTTTGGTGTATCACTGTTATTCAACATTAGAACATTTCACTAAGCACTCTGTTAGAAGAGTTTTCAGTAAATAAATCAAAAATTCTGTTTAGGTTCCCTTGAGGCGTATCAATACTCAAGCTAGTTTATATGTGTACCGAATATCTTGTAGCGGTAAATAAATCCCCAAAATCAACAGCTCTGTAAGTCCTCGGTGTTTGATGCTGATCTGATTAGTTTTGCTGGACTCACCTAGTTGAAGGAGTTCGGTTACGCATCCACACTGCATTACGAGTGGGTACGCCGTACCACTCATCCTTTTCAACTACCAGTCAGCTTAGACCAAACGTTCCTTCAACATACCGATAGCCTTACAAATATATCTTCAGACTCCTTCATTATTGACATCTGATTTGACTGGGTTGACATACTTCGATTACTGGTTAGGGTGCTGTCAAACTACGAATACATGTGGCATTTTTAATAGTGTGCTCGACGTGGTTCTGTAAACCAATTCGTAAACTGTGATTCTGTTCCTTGTTTGGACATTATGTATATTATTTCTTAATTTTAGCTTTTACATATTGTGATATCGTTCTCATATTTTCGGATTTGTTTCGTTCATTGGTATACTTTATATTCAGCAAGGTGAAATAGACTCCCAAGTTACTCAAGATCAAGACTTTCGCCTCCCTTATTTCAGCTATTGACATTTTGACCCGACAATATCGAAGACTGACTCAGATACACAAACAATAACTTCCACGAGTACAGCGTGTTAGACCCAAGCCCATACCTCGTAGTAGCGATAGCACTGCCGTGCAATTTCAGCAGGTACGTCACACGTAGTATGTTTACCAGTGATATTTTAAAACCTTACAAAACTATGGAAAAGGTTACTCCTAAGAGTGAAGATGTAAACGACCGACAAAAGGTTAGAGCAGCTTTCCCACAACATTGAACTATGGTCCAAAAACAAAAATCTTTCTACGAATAGAAGGCCATTGGTAAAATGACCATAGATGAGGGCCTATTTAGACAACTTTCTTGTCTAAACTTCCTCAAATGATACAGACATTTCTTGTCTGATTTCAAAGCACTACTTTAGACGAACTGAGTACATCTGCCGACTGAATTCTGGAGATCACCAGAACTCCCACAGTCGAGGTCTATGTAGTCAAAGAAAAGCCTCGAACAATACGAAATTATGTCCCTAACCTATGTCATACATTGACACGTTACATTGATATTCGTCATGACCGTAGACGCTCCCAAACTCTTAGAAGAAATTCTTCACGACAACGATCTATTTATAGATCACGAAAGACAGATAACCTTGATTGGTGCTGGCACCCTTATAAGTATGGTAAATATTCTCCAGACTGCAGAAAACACTGTAGTCTCCCAAAGTCTGAACCGTCCAATACGAAAAACAATTCAAAAACCTCCCTCCCCTGAATGCGTCAACGCCAACCATAGCCAGCAAACATAGCCCTCTGTTATACAACACTGGTATGATTACAAAAGTTCTCTACCTCGTTCTTCCAACAAATTCCAACAACTAACTGTACGAACCAGTTTTCGACTTACCGGCAGAAAATGGAAAACTGATTGCCACATACGGTAAGTAATATGTTTGTCTTAACGTGGGCATACGTAAACACCTTCGATGAATTTTTGTTGTCGCAGATGTTTCTGTGTCAATCATTGGTATAGACCTGCCATAACACCATAATCTACTAATCGACATGTGCACGGAGGTTAGTAGATGCAAATACTAAATTATCTGTTCGCGTAACTCCTTTTTTCGGTCGTAGATTACCGCCAGTCACAGTAAAGCACGTGATCGATCCATACTATCAACAAATACTCGATAAGTACCCCGATATATACCAAACGCGATTTAAATGACCATTCGTCACCACCGATGTTACACATCGCACAACAGCTACAAGACCTCCTGTATTCTCAAAAACGTGCCGACTAGCTTCCGAAAAGCTAAGGTTGGCTAAAAACGAGTTCGACTACATGGTAAATTTAGGAATCATTCGGACATCAAACAGCCCATGGACATCTCCCTTGCATATGGTCCCTAAAAAGGAAAGTGACGACTGGCGTCCAACTGGTGACTATCGGTGATTGAATGCGAAAACTATTCCTAATCGTTACCCGTCGCCCCATGTTGACGATTTGACAACTACCTTGAAAGGTACAACTGTCTTTTCGAAAATCGACTTCGCTAAAGCCCAAAACCAAATGCCTATAAATGCTGACGACATTCCTAAAGTCTCTATCACTATCTCTACGAATTTTTTGAGAATACCTTTATGCTTATGGAGTGTTGCATGAACTTAAAGGTCTTAACGTCTTGCACGCGTATATAGATGACTACTTGACCGCAAGTGTGGAAAGGTAATCTCATCTCCAGCATCTGAACCTTGTCCTCGAACGTGTGCAAAAACACGGCACTACTGTAAGCATCCCAAAATGTCAAATTGGAACCGACTTCCTGGATTTTCTCGGTCACACTGTTGATGCTCAATTCATTCAACCTCTGAAAAGCAAAGTGGCAGCTATTTGAGTTGCTCAAAACCGATAAGTCAAGCAATTGCGTATGTTCATCGGCTTTGTAAGCTTTTATCGATGGTTCATATAGAATTGCGAGTTTCTTATGAGACTCTTAACCGACCGACTTCATGGAAATGTGAAACCTATCAACTTGGAGGACATCGCGAGGGAAGCATGCTCCACAATTAGGATAATTATCGTCAACGTAACAGTGCTCGCACACTAGGATACCGAAACACTCATTTGTATCGCAGCAGACTTATCCGACTCGGCAATCGGAGTCTTACAAGAATGGATAAGCAACATCTCGCAGCTGTTAGCATCCTTCTCGAGATAGTTACTAGAGACTGGATAGAGGTATAGCACTTTCGTCGGGGAGCTCCTAGATATGTATTGTGCTGTCCGCACTTTCAACACTCTGTTGAAGGCCGGGAATTCACCCTTTTCACCGATCACGAACCTCTTACCTTCACTTTAAGCTCATCTTCAGATAAGAACTCCTCTCGAGAGTCATGATAACGGTATTACATTTCTCAGTTTACTTCAGACATACAACACATTTCTGAAGCAAACAGTGTAGTTGCAGAATC